TTTTTTTTCATAACCTTTAACCTTTGCTATCATTTTGAGAAAAAGATATTTTAGATAAATTGACGTTACTACTAATTGATTTAAATCTCAATGTGCTGCAAAAATTATGGAAGCCCTTTTTATTATAAAAAAATAACATTTTTAAATAATTTTTGGTCAAATTTTTAAAAAAAAAAAATTCAATTACTCTCATTCTGAAAATTCTTGAAATATTTTAGTAAAGGCTAGCTAGGTAAAGTATACAATTACAAATATCAGTTCTCTAATACTATTATTATTAATAATATTTTCGTTGTTTTCGAATCGGCGGACCATACATTGCTCTTAGTTTAATTAAATTTTAAAATTTATGAATAGTTTCGAGTCTTAAAATTTGCCCTATCAACTATATCACAATACCTTGACTTAGAGAATGAATAGACTTATGAAAATTGCTAATATTGTTCATTGTATAATTGATACTTTGTAAGTAGAACATCAAAAACGTAATAGTAATTACTTGCATTCCAACTAGAATTATTAAATAATAGCAAAGTTGTACTTTGGATAGGTTTGCCTGAAAATTGAGTCATGATTATCTTTCAATTGTAATCATATATTTATAAAAATTTTTTGCTAATAGTGCCTTAATAATTTATAATTTCACATGAACTAAATTACATTATTACTTACAACAAAACTGTGCTAGCTCCAATCTGCTTATTATTTCAAAGAAATCTTTTAAAGTGTTTTATAAGTGTTTGTAAAGTAAATTTTTTAAAAGAAATATATTCTTCAAATAATGAAAAAAATTCATTTGAGTAGCAACTGAATATAAACTATTCACTTCATTAGTAAGCAATAAATAATAAAGAGTAGTTGATGTAGATCGAAATATTGAAATATTTACTAATTGCAAAATATTAATTAAAATATATAGCATAAGTTCAACGCAAGTTAAAAATCTAATCTAAGAAATTTTAAATATAAAAACGAACCTGTTTAGGCTTTGTGCCACAAATATTGTGGCAGCAACGACCACAAAAAAATAAAAACCCACATACGGGTAAAAGTATCATAAATAATATACCAGTAGCCAGCAGTGAAACTCCCCAAAACTGAAAGCAAATATTAATTGAAATATATAACTTATGTTTAAATTGAAATATTTTTGTTACTTCAACATTATATATAGGATATGTATTTTTTAAATAGATTTCTTAATGTTATTTGCGTTAAAATCAAATATTTCAAAATAAGAGATAACAGACGCATTTCTAATTTTATTCGAATGTAGCGCTAAAAGAAATTAAAAATCTAAAATTTAAAAAAAGAGGAGAGAAACTGCAATTTCAATTTTATTATCTGCTATCTATTATTTGACTGCTTTAATGTATTCATTTCTAATATTTCAATAGGAATATTTGTGGTTAAAATTTCTAAACCAATATTTTATTTAAAAAACAAAAATAATGTTAGTCTTACATGTCTTCGCCACAATGTAGTAGCAATGTACTGAGTATTGCTTATATAATTTGATGATAATAGATGTCCAATAATCTGCAAAGGGGAAATTCAGTACTTGACATATTTAGTAATAATCATTAGTAAAGAACGTTTGCAAAAATCTCGAAAATGGCTCAATTCATAGAGACAAATAACTAAGAGCACTTTATCTAAGAACTATCAGGAATTAAAGTGATCTTCCACATTATTATCAGTTTCTAGTTGGATGCAAAATACTACAGTTAATTCGAGTTACGATAAAGTGGTAGCTCATTCCTCTGAAAGTGCTACTACTTGTATCATTTGGGATTATAAACAATAATTTTTCATTTTACTTACATAGTATATTTTTTGGAATTTTACTCATAAAATTTAATTTCCAGCGTCTGATATTTAAATATCTAACCTCGAGATCTTTTTTATTTAATCCATCTTGAATACTGTAGCATAAATATTGAATGAAATCGTAAAAGGTATCAATAATACCATCATAAGAATAATTCACAGAACTTAATGTAACATTTTCATACTTGCATTGTTCTGAGGAATATTCCATTGAATTGGAATGTGATGCTTTGCTGAGAGAAGGAATTTCATCGAGAACTTCATAATTTTTGTCCTCTACACCAGCTATTGACTCTGTTAAGAAAAAATGATTGTAAAAATCAAGTTTATGTTAAAATTGTACTTACAATAGTAATTCTTTACACATTGTACGGGAATTGAAGCAATAAAGTCAGTATATAACTTCAACTGATTATAATTTTATGGATGAAGGATGATGATTCAGATATGCAGATGAATTCATTTTCAAATTTTATTCGTTTGCTCAATGCTGTTGGAAATAAGAATTATGCAAATATAAAAGTTTATTTTCAAAATTTTTTAAACTTTCTAAAAAAAAGTGAAGGATTAAACTATAAGTTACTTTCATTTATATTTATGATGATAAAAAAATATCAAAATAATAAATATTTGGGTTGTTAAATTGCTAAATTTTCACTGTTCGGAAAATATTGATTTCAAAGTGTAAGATTTTACCAAAAAAGAGGACAAAGACATAACTTGTTGAAACAAGAAGATACCAATTGTTTAACATCCTTGAATTCTGCAAAATATTCGTGATACAAATTTTTTCACGAGAAGCATGCGAAAAAATTTTTACGTAATGAAGACTTTGAATCAGAATTCTCGACGCTAGCCCTCGAGTTCTACTCACTGTGTACTCTTTACTAATTTGAAATTAGGAACTTAAAAGAAAGGGTAGAAAAGAAATTATTGCAAAAAGACGAAAAATATGAACTAAGGTTTACATAATGAGAAAATTCGTCTTGCAAGTTAAATTACATTTTAAACATACGAAAATGGTCCAAAAATATAGCTTATCACAGTAGTGCCATCAAGTTAACATAGATTAAGGCATGTGCTAGATGGAAAAATTCGCAGTTAAATGTTTAAAGCATATGATACCGAAGTAAGTCAGTATATTTATTAACTATAGTTCCGAAAAAAATACATTTCCTGATAAATATTGTAAAAGCGTATTTAATCATTCTTAACACTTTCCTGTTCATGCAAAAATTTATACTTTCAATGGCAATATTAATAATTATTATTATTATAGTAATGATGCGCTTTTGCAGTCATTTAGTAACACCAAAGCATTTATTTTAATTAATGATTCTTACTGGAATTCAAGAAAGTATTTAGTAAAAGATGTAATTTGTTAAAAGCTGTTTAACAAAAATTTTTCACAGGGTTTGATTCAAACAAGCAATATATATGTGAAAATAATGACTTCTGTGGTATATAGTTCATTATTATGTCATTATTATTGACATAGTGATGAACCATGTACAATAAAAGCAAACGTGAATAACTATAGAATACCACTAAAGTTTTATAAACCTGTAAACTTCCAGGCAAATGATGGCTTGTTAAAGCTGCTTGCTGACTCATTTGCTTTTAAAATCTTTTTGTTGTTATTTTATCATTGCTACTGTAACAGTATCGTCATAGTAGCTTTTTTAAACAAAACATTCTTCGAAATAGTTATTTTTCAAAAGAATAAAAATTCAGGAGAGCAATGAAATTAATTCAGTGGATTCAGATGAGTTATGACCAGAAATGATTGTGCTGTACTGCCGTCAAAAACATCTTAAGCAAAGATTTTTATTAGGAAGAAAACCTACTTTATCATTAATAATGACTTTGTTTGAAATGAATTAAAACTTTAAAGTTTTCCAGAGATTTTCTTCTCAGTTCGATGAATCAGCCGATAGCAATGTTGGGCAATTACAAAACGTTTTACAAAAGTGAACAGATTCGTCATCATATTCTTATCACAATGATAACAAACTATTTTTGAGATAATAATTGTTATTAATCAAAGATCACATCATCGGAACCCATTAGATAATAGTAACCTTCA